ACGCATTGAATCCTTTTATAATATCTCGTGACAGAACTAATCTGATTAAATATTTCAATTTCTAACAACTTGTGGATTTCTTTTTTTAACAAACATGTTGATTTTTCATTTCTATTTTCAGGGATCGTCCAATTGAGAACAAGGACATTGTATTGTGGTACACATTAGGCTTCCATCACGTACCGTGCCAAGAGGACTTCCCTATCATGCCAACCGTATCATCGAGTTTTGATCTGAAGCCCGTCAATTTCTTTGAGAGCAACCCAATTCTCCGGATCCCACCTAACGTTGAAAAAGATTTGCCTGTTTGCAAGCCTGCTGCATCGGCTTGAACAGCTAGTTGGAGCTCTTCTATCTGCAAATATATGCAGTAGCAGGGTAAAAACCTTGAGATCAATAATGTAGATGAATGCTTCAGAATAACACGCAAAAAAGAAGAAGAAAAAGAGAGAGAGACGGCGATGAATTAATCACTGTTTTATGACCACTTTATGGTTACGATCGAGGCGAGGTCAGATGGTATTGCACAAAACACCAAGCATTTCTGTGTAGCAATTTTAATGTGCACTATTTTATGAATCAATGTGGATTGAAATAGTTAGATTTTTCTTAAATGTTCAATTTGGTTTTCAAGATTTTTTAGCACAATTGAACCTTTTTGAATTCAAATTAATATTCAATTTCATAATTTTTGGGAAGGAATAGTTGGTTCAATAGTTAATTGATCAAAGTAAAAATGATCAAAGTGAAAATGATGCTACAAAATATTTATTTTGATCTTTTTTTTTTAATTTATAAGTAATTGATTTTTTTAGTTTTTAAAAATTTAATTTTAATATCAATATTTATTTTTTTAATTTTCTAGTCTTTTCTTGTGAGAGGACAAAGAGAGGACTATTACATTATGGTATAGAGAGAAAAACTCGTTATTTATATCTATTTTGACCATTAAAATAGTCAAAATTAGTATAAATAAATTTCATTCAGTGAGAAAAGTCTTATAATGATTGTTTTCAATCTCCATTTTGCTTCGAAAACAAATTTAAGTTGAGGGTGAGAAAATTTATTTGGTTTGATTTAGTGATTTGAGCCTCTTTTTAGGCTTATTGGATTGCTAAATTGGTGTCTATATGTTCTAGGATTGATTTTTGAGTTTAAATGAGTTAAAAAATAGATTGAATTGATTTTTGGGTTTAAATGAGTTAAAAAATAGGTTTGTTAAGTTAAAATCCCATAGCCTTAATTTTTCCACCATCAAAGTGGTGGTCAGAATTTAGCTAAAAGACAACGCGTCATTTATCTTAACGAACGATATTATATATTTTTTTTTTTTAAATAAATGTACGATATGTTATTCACCCTTTTAAATGAAAGAAAAAACAAGCTCAAACATATAGGCCAAAGAATAAATACCTACGCATCTTGGTTGTTCCTTCTAAAGGCCCTATTTATTGGGTCATAAGCTTGTGATGCTGGCTTTTTTATTTTGTTTTTTTTACTACAAATATATAAAGAAAAAAATCCGTTTTTACTACAAATATATGAAGAAAAAAATTTGTTTGATTTTATAATGTGAATCGCAAGTTTGAAATGTTAAGCAACAACATCCAATCTATTTATTTTAATATGTTTTTTTAAAAAAATATATAATTTCACCCTTTTGTAATTGATGATCTTTTTTATGTAACTTGAAATTAAAAAAAATGGTTTCATCTAAGGTTGTTAAAATCGCGAGTTGACTTGTAAAATCATACTATTTTACTAGTCAATACATGTTTATATGTTTAATGTGCTAAATTATTTTAAAAACTTGAAAATAAGTAAAATCAGGTTAAAATAAAATAAAAATCATATACTGCACTATTCCTGAAATTTCTTGTTTATATATCATTTCACCATTTATTTGATGCTAAGAGCCCAATTTATCCTTCCAAGCGACTGTTAAAGCAAAATATTGTTGGCCACACAAAGCAACTCCAAGCACGGACCACTAGATCTATGTCAGTGGTTAGTTTTGTCGAAGGAGAAATAAGAATATTACGAAGTATCAATTTTTTGATGCCAGAAAGTCACATTTAAAATTAGTTTTTGACATGAAAATGAACACTTTGACATGATAATACCACAATAAGTAGCCTAACTTTCACTTTTAAATTGCGTGGAACTGTAATAATAATAATTTTTTAAAGTAATTTAAAAATATGAAATTTTCTAACTCAAAATAAAAAAATCAAATTTAAAAAAAAATGAAACTCACATATAAACTCCTGTACATATATTGAATTCTAAACCAACATCTATAGCACCTAACATAGTCATAATTTTATTGACTATTTACTGATGATGTTTTCAAAATAAAATAAGTTTATAGAATATCTAAGTTGTGTTTGTATTGATCACAATTTGATTTTAATAATCATGTTAGAATTGATTACAAGACTAATTTAAATTGATTCTTGAATTATTGAACACATGACATCTAGAAACAATTATTCTGATAATAAACTTGATGTAGATAACAACGTGGTATAAATATTGTTAAGAATTCAAAAGAAGTTCAGTGCAAGTATTGTTAATTTTTTTTTTTTATGATTTTATGATTTGTTTTTACAATCCGAATTTATTTTGTATTTTCCGTGCTACGTCAAAATCATGATTTTAATAATTTTGGTTTCACCTTTTATTATTAATAATTTGCTTTTACTATTTCAGTCTCATATGCCTATCATGGCTCTTTTCTCTTAGAAAAAAAATTAAAAAAATAACATTGGCTTTATTATCACATAAAACTATTAGATAAAAAATAATTTATAAAATAAAAAAATTATTAAATCCGACGACGTGTATGACTAGTATTGAGAGTTTGAGTGGTTGAATCAAATTTATTTTTTTTAAAAATTAGGTTTTTTATTATTTTTATCCTCTAATATTGAATTTATTTGAGATTTATCTTTTAAATTTGTTTTTTTTCAAGATTATCCCTGTGATTTTTTCATGTCAACTCAGAATGATCCAAATTAATCCTATGTATTTTTTTTTAATAATAGATAAAAATATTGTTTGATAGACCACTAATTTTAAATTTATGATTATTTAAAAAAAATATACAAGTAATATCTAGATTTTTTTTGTTTGATTTTTGTTTTACTCTAACCTTCGGTGTAGCGTGGCCTCGCTAGTTTCAGATTATCTTTGTGATTAATTTTACTGACTTAATTTAATTAAAAATATTAAAATCATTCACAAAGGTTAAGTAGTGTTAAATATATCTAACTAATTTGGCGTGGTGTGGGGACGTATCCCAGTCTCTCACGAGTACACAGAGACGTTATCCACTCCTCCCTCCTGGGCCAATGGTCTCCTCCCATCCGGCATAGTTAGATAGCAAATTATTAATTTAAGTCATTTATGTTTGAGATTAGGAATTTATAAAAAAATCCACGCTTACTATTTACTTTTCAATTTATTCACACATCAAATATCAGATATATTTTTAGAAAATATTTTTTATCTAATGATAAAATTTTCAATAGCTCACATCTATTTTGGTACAAAATTTGACCGATACTGCGACTATAAAATATGAGCAATTACTCTGTTTTTATCTTGTTAAAATACCAATGTAATTCTTTAGGTGTATTTAGGAATATGGTACAAACTATGTTTTTTAATTTTTTTTAAAAATTATTTTTGGTTTTATTTAAAATAATTTTTTTATGTTTTCAGATTATTTTAATATGCTTAACTTAAAAATAATTCTTTTATTTTTTTTATTTGATATATTTCTAAATAAAAAACACTTCAAAGTTTAAATTGCTATCACCGTTACAACCTTAAACACACCCTATTGCGTTTTAAACAGTGGTAGCAATGAAGATTTCGATTGTTTTTAGGATTCAAATATGTTTTTTAAAGTTTTTTATTTAAAAATATATTAAAACAATATATATATATATATATTATTTTTAAAATATATTTTTAACATTAAAATTAAAAAAATTTAAAAATACTTTTTAAACACACAAATAAACATACTCATTTTATCAGTTTCATTTTAGAGTTCACATCGCATCAAAATTATATATACGCTTGATTTTATTGAAGTTGTGGAAAAGAAAATAACATAGCATGACAAGGTTGCAAACCTCTATATAGCAATTATAACACATATAATAGCTATAAATTCGTATTGCTAAGCAATAATATTTGATTTTTTTAATTTTTTTATTGATATTTTTAATATGTAAATTTTTAATTTATTTTTCAATTGATATCACTAATATGTGATTTTTTTATTTGCTTATTTATCTTTGTTGGATAAAAATTTTTTTAAATTATTTTATGTGCATTGAATTTTTAAAGATATTTTTCTAATTCATCTATATTTTTTTTTAATCTTTTGTATTAATAAATTTTTTAAAATTAAAAAAATATTTATTTTCAAATAATATTTATAATATGTGCAACATTACATAATATTTTTTTCTTTTTTTTATTTAATTAATTTAATATGTGTGGCTATTTTTATTATCTTTTAATTAAATAAAAAGATATTTTAATAAACAAGATTTAACAAATACAATTAGATAAATATTTCATCTTGAAAAATTAAATATCTTAAACTATATATGTCTCTTAATTTTTCTAGTTTTATTTTTAGTTATTATTAATGACTTGTTTTTTTAGTACACGTATTCTTGACATATATATATATATATATATAGACACACACACCACTTGATTTGTTCATAAATATCTTTTTAACTATAAAAATACATAGTAAAGACATAACTAATTTTCTTTTATTGTAGGTTGAAATGCTTCAACGACTGCGTTGGATAAAAGCAGATTGCATTCGAATCCTTGGTTGCTCATATGATAGTCATTGAAGGCTTACATGGTCGTTAACTTTAAGGCCCGTGGGATTAGTCGTGGTGCACGCAAGCTGACCCAGACATCCACGTTAATC